GCGACACATTCCTCGGCGGCGAAGACTTTGACAACGCTTTGGTGAACTTCTTGGCCAAAGAGTTCAAACGCGATCAGGGCGTGGATGTGACCAAAGACGTGATGGCAATGCAACGGCTCAAAGAGGCCGCCGAGAAGGCGAAGATCGAGTTGTCGGCGTCGGTGCAGACGGACATCAATCTGCCGTACCTAACGATGGACGCGGGCGGACCCAAACACATGAACCTGAAGCTGAGCCGATCCAAGTTCGAGTCACTGGTGGCCGATCTGATTAAGCGTACGATCGATCCGTGCCGTAAGGCCATCGCCGACGCGGAGGTGCAGAAGTCTGAGATACAGGAAGTGCTTTTGGTCGGCGGTATGACTCGTATGCCTAAAGTGCAGGAAACAGTTCAGGAGATATTCGGTCGCCAGCCGTCCAAAGCGGTGAATCCGGACGAAGCCGTTGCTGTGGGCGCTGCCGTTCAGGGAGGAGTCCTGTCCGGGAATGTGACCGAAATTCTTCTGCTGGACGTGACTCCGCTGTCTCTGGGAATCGAGACGTTGGGCGGAGTGTTCACTAAATTGATTAACAGGAATACCACTATTCCCACGAAGAAGTCGCAGGTGTTCTCCACCGCAGCCGACGGCCAGACACAGGTCGAGATCAAAGTATGTCAGGGCGAGCGCGAGATGGCCACAGACAATAAGGTTTTGGGACAGTTCTCGCTGATCGGTATCCCACCCGCGCCCAGAGGTATACCGCAGATTGAGGTGACTTTCGATATCGACGCCAATGGCATCGTTCACGTGTCGGCCAGAGATAAGGGCACCGGAAAGGAGCAGCAGATTGTGATCCAATCGTCCGGCGGTCTGTCGAAGGATGACATCGAGAATATGATTCGAAACGCGGAGAAGTTCGCCGAAGAGGACAAGAGGAAGAAGGAGGTCGTGGAGGCCGTGAATCAGGCGGAAAGCATTATACACGACACGGAGACCAAAATGGATGAATACAAGGATCAGTTGCCCGCCGAAGAGGTCCAGAAGCTGAAGGAGAAGATCTCGAAGACGCGCGAAGTGTTGCAAAACAAAGACAATGAGACGCCAGAGAAGCTGAAGGAGACGACCAATGATTTACAACAGGCGTCGCTTAAGCTCTTTGAGTTGGCCTATAAGAAGGTCTGTCCACTACTGCCGACCACTACTTGTATATAAGTTTTATTAATATTTTTTGTTTGTTTAGATGACCGCCGATAGAGAGGCCTCGCAATCGTCGTCTTCTTCCTCCTCATCGAGCAGTTCGTCAACGGATGAGACGATAGACCAAAACGATAAGAAAGAAGAAGAGAAGAAGAATTAAGTGTTTAGTTTTCATTGCATTTATAAATTAAACAGTTTTTTAAAAGTAATTTAGTAAT